AAGGGTGCTTGGAAAAAGGCAAAGAAAATGTGTTTCAGGGAAACATGTTTTATAAGATGAATTTTTCTGTAAATGCTCAGGCTGGATTCCACACTCAGAGGTTTACCGCTTCCTAGTGTAGCGCCAGTGGTGCAGTCAGTTAGCGTGAGCCCAGTTCTTGTAAGAGGTTTACAGCTTCCATTGTGAGCCCTGAGAACCTGGTGAAGTCAGGGACCCTGGAGAATGGAGCGGGTGGCCTGGTGGGTGGTGTTGGAGGGGACTCTGGGTGGGTGCTCAGGCCATAAAGGGAGGTGGGGTGAGGAGCTATTGAGGACGGCTAGCCATGGGGAGGGTGGAACGGCTGCTGGCCCGGGGAGGGAGTTACTAGCTGGAAACCCCTCCAACTGTTCACAGAGACAAGCTGAAAACAGGAAGCTTGAAATGAGCTGTGATTCAAGATTACCCATTTCCTGCTCTGGGGACCCGTGCTGGGGTGCCACACGAGCTCCTTGACTCTGAAGTCTCACACCCTCACGCTACCTCCCTGTCCCCTCTACGCCCCCTGTCTCTTCTCTCCTCCTTCCTCGCCCTCCCTCCCTCTCCTCCTCCTGGGCCCCATCCTTCTTCTCTCCCACATCCACTGCCTTCTCCCATCCTTCTCCTCTTACTTTTAGTATCATTTTCCTCCTCTTTGTCCCGTTCCCTCTGTGTTTTCCTTTGTCACCTCTTACTTCTCCTGTCTTGTTCCATCTCTCCTTTTCCCCTACTTCTCTACCTCCCTTCGCTTTCCCTGACCCCTTCTCAGTGCCTGTCTCCTTCTTCCTGCTTCCCTTCCATGCCACCCTCACCCTGCCCCCATCTCTCCTACCTCCTTTCCCTCACTGTTTCCCTGTTCAGCTTCTCACACTTTCCTCCTCTCCAGCTTTGTGATCTGCTTTACCTCCCCGGTGTGAGTGAGTGGGTGAGTGTGTGTGTGAGTGTGTGCATGCACACCTGTGCTCCATCAGCAGGGTGAGCGAGGAGGGAGAGTGAAAACCGAGGGAGAGGAACTGGAGAGAGGAGTCAGGGGACAATTCCGAATCTCCTCAGTGGGATTCATCTCAGAGGTCTCCTACTCCAAATCCCAGCTGGGATGGGCAAGTCATCTTCTACAGCCTCGGAAGACTGTGCACTATTTGCTTGAACACCTCTAATAACAGGGAGCTCACTACTGGGCAAGGCGGCTCATACCATCTTAGGGAACTTGTTCTACTGTATATTAGACCAAGAGTGGGCGAATGGTTCCAGTGGTTGATCATGCAGGGTACATCTCGGCCCTCTGCCTTGTGTCTGCTTTTCACCCACTGGATGAGAGCCACTCAGCTGTGCCTAAGTCACTCTTTTCTAAAGACCCATCCCAATGTGAGCTGGTTCCAGACCCTTTACTACCTTAAATGCTCCCCTTTGATACTCTCTTAAACTATGTGGTGTCCAAAATTACACACATACTCCAGATGTGGTCCTACCAGCTGAGATTGGATAAGACCGTCACCTCACTCTATCTGGAACACATCTGGCCTAATCCTGCCTCAGGGCCTTTGCACTTGCTGTTCCTTGCTTGCATGGCTCACAGCCTCACTTCATTCAGGTCTCTCCTCCAGCCTCACCTTCTCAGAGCTGCCTTCTCTGACCACCATGTGTGAGGTTACTCCTCCCACCCAGCACTCCTCATTCACATTACCCTGCTTAATTTTTCTCCATAGCATTTCCATCACCAATTCCTTATCTATTTATTTGTTTGTTGTCTTTCTTCCCTACCATTCCACTGGGATATAAGCTCTGCAAGAGCACTGTTGTATCTCAAGCACCTAGAACAGCAGGGAAAAATAGGCGCTCAGTAAATTTGTTTTATGATCGAATAAATATATGTAAGTATTTACAAATATGTATTGAGTGCCCATTATATTCAGAGACTAACTGATCATTTTTCCAGATACTATGCTGGGGGCTGGGGATGCAATAGAGAACAAGATTTATGATTCTTATCCAAATGGAGCTTTGTGCCTATTAATTATCTTGCTCCTATTAACGTAGCTAAATAAAATATTAGCATTTCTAAGATCCATGTGGAGCTTGTTCTAAGCTAATGTCTCTAGATCATTTCTAAACACAAGATCCTGAGAATCCACATCTCTCCAAGCTTGGACTTGAGTGGTTTTAATCCCTGAGTAGGACTTTATGTCTACCTTTTCCAGTCTTGGTTGGAATCCAATATTGATTCTGTCATCTGACCCGTTAACTCTCCCTCTCAGCTCTATGTCATTCAAGATTTTGGTACACTCTTCCTATACATGTAATCCAGCTCTTTGATCTTACCTAAGTTACTTCTCTGAGCTTTAGTTTCCTTATCTATTAAAGGTGATTATAACAATTACCTTGCAGGATTATTATGATTTTTAAATGGAATTGTAATGAATGTCAAAGGACCTACTAGCGCCTAGCATAGCGCCTGGCACCTAGTAGGTGCTCAACCAAAGTTGTTTATCTTTAATTAGATAGTTGTTGAGATTCTTTGCTGACCTTGAACCATCAATCAATGCTTTTTTTTTTTTACAGTTATTTATGCAATTATTCATCCAGTGCCAAAGCTATCTCCTGTATAGTCATCCAAACTGATGAGGAAAAGTTCTTCTTTTTAGATGAGTGCCAGCTAATAAATGCAGAATAAGTAAGAGAATGAGAATGTCAGCCTTCTGCAACAATTATGTTACTGCAACAACAGATCTAGGCAACAATGCTCAATGCCAAAGACCATTGGGAAAGACTGATGGAGAACTCCCTAATGCGTATATCAGGCAGACAACGCCTGAACTCACAGATCAGTCTTAAATCCTAAAAGAGAGACAGTCAGACATGATTACATCTACAGATATGCAAGAGAAACACTCACTACCACCTATGAAATATTCTTGCCAAAACCTAGAACTTGAATCAGACCAAGTCTCTATATTCATCCACCAGGTTATAAGACATGCAGACACTGGAAGGGCACCACAGAGCTGTAGTCAGCTGAATTCAGAAGGTAGGAAATTCCGCAGGAAAATGACCTTTTCTCCCCCTTCCAACAAATAAATGACAAGAAAAACAAAACCGAACGAAGGGAACTGCTGCAGATCAAAAGAGACTTCCATCTTTCCAACCGTGCGAAATGTGAAGGCTTTATTTGGATACAATGAAAGAAAATCAATTAACATAGGACTATTGAATACTGACTATTTACTAGATATTAAAGAATTATTACCAAAGTTTTAGGTGTAAAAATAGTATTTGGCTACGTTAGAAAAGAAGTCCTTATGTATTAGAAATTCATACTGAAGTATTTTTTAAAAAATATTTATTTATTTATTTGGCCGCATCAGGTCTTAGTTGCGGCATGTGGGCTCCTCGCGGTGTGTGGGCCTCTCTCTAGTTGTGGTGCACAGGCTCTAGAGTGCGTGGGCTCAGTAGTTGTGGCGCATGGGCTTAGTTGCCCCACAGTATGTGGGATCTTAGTTCCCTGATCAGGGATTGAACCTGCGTTCCCTGCATTGGAAGGTGGATTCTTAACCACTGGACCACCAGGGATGTCCCCATACTGAAATATTTACAGAGGAAATGATGTGATATATGCGATTTGCTTTAGTATAAGCTGGTGATCCACAGAGACAGAAAATAGATGCATAGTTGCCAGGAGCTGAGGTAAAAGGGGAATGGGGAGTGACTGCTAAAGGATATGGGGTGAGGAAAATGCCTTGGAATTATACAGTGGTGATGGTTCCTCCTTGAGGAAGCCACTGAATTGTACTTTAGAAGACAAATTAGTCACGTGAGCCAATTCCTTAAAATAAATCTATCTATCTATGTATACACTTCTTATGGCTTCTGTTTCTTTGGACAACCCTGATGAATGCATTGTCTCAACTAGAGCTGCAGCAAGAAGACAAAGATGCCACCTCCCAAAGTGATCTGTGACAGAGACCACTATGGCCAAGAACTGGTAGATTCACCCATGTTGATATTACAAGGTTGGGCTGCTGGAGATTAGAGATTCTGAGACAGTGATTTCTTAGGAAAAGTTTATGCCAGCCTACCACTCCTCCCTTGTGCTACGTCTGGTAGGAGCTTCAGTGGGACGCCCAGCGAGACTGATACGTGTCTGGTGCTGAATCCTTCCCAGGCCATCTGCAGGTAAGCATCCTGCCTTTGGTTTATCCAGGCTAAGGATGTACGTGCTTCCTGTGGCCACAGGTGGGTTGCGTGGAGAGAGCAGCGGCTGAAGGAGAGCGGCATCTCCACTGCCGCCACCGTGGTGCAGGCCACATCATCCCTCTTTGGACTGCTGCAATCATCTCTTTTAAAATTCCTCTTGCCTAAGCCAAACCTCAGACTGATTTCCTCAGGCTCTCTGGGTGTGGGCCAAGTCATCAGTATTTCTGGAAGCTTCCCAGGCAAATGCGTGCAGCCCAGGTTGAAAAGCTTATATGATCTGGTTCCTGGTCATCCCTCTTTTGCACTCAGCCAAACTTGTCCCTGACTTACTGCTTTTGTACTTGCTATTCCCACTGGTGGAATAATTTTCCTGAATACTTTCCCATGGCTGGTTTCTTCAGGTCTCAGCCCAGATGACCCCTCAGAGGCTTTTCCAACTACCTGATATCAAGTAGCTACTCCTTCCTGGGAAGTTTGTACTGAATTATCACTACTTTTTCTTACCATCTTTGACTATCTGAAATTACTTATTTGCTAATGTGCTATTGTCTCTCTCCTCTATTAAAATGTAAGCCAAATAAAACCAGAGCCTCCTGTGTCTTGCTAGGAGACAATATAACAGAGTGTTGAAGAGTGCAAGCTCAAATCCCAGCTCCATCACTTACTAGCTGCATGACCTTGGGGAATTTACTTAGCTTCTCTGTGTCTCACTTTCCTTATCAGCAAAATGTGGGTAACTTGTTTTTTTTTTTTTTTTTGAATGCAAGCTTTTCTTTTATTATAACTCTAAATAAAAGTCATACTTCTAAAATAAGCTACAAATTGCCTTTTTTTGTGAAACTGATGTGACTTGGTGCCACAGCTAACCTTTCTCTCATAGTAGCAGTATCATCAGCCCCTGGCAGCAAGGAAATGTTCATTTCTGGCATCCCATGGGCTCCCACACAAGCAACTTCATAAAGCTTGCAGATACTACTCTGCTGAAGTTTCAAATGAATAGAAATGATCATTGTGCTTATGGGTCTCATACCTTCCAAAATATACATAAATGGTGACAAATCAAAATAGCAGTTCTTTGCTTACCAATAAAATCATAAGGCAGAGGGGTTGGAGTTGGAAAGAGAAATTGTTAAAAATGCGGGAGAAAATGCAAAACAGTGCTAGCATTCACAAAAAAGATCATGCTAAAATCAGATCCATATTCATAAAAATCAATCATTAAGCCACAATCCAAAGAACTCTGTCCATGAGTCCAAAGGCATGCATGCCAGCTGAAGGAAATGCAGGATTCTTCTGACAATAGTTTCTTCAGAGCAGAATAGTAACGTGTCACTGGAGTAATCGCAACAGGGTGAACAAGACGCCATCACATGGAGTAGGGGTCTGGGGCTATCCTGCCTTCGTGTCCACGAGCTGCATCTGCACGTTGGCAGCCATGCCACCCCCGTAGCCTTCCTCGGACTGCATCTGGTTCTGAATGGAGCTAACGGAATTCATCCCACTGAACACAGGTCTCCTGACCCAACGTGAGCCGTGTGCACAAAGTCTGTGGGCTCTCCAATCATACCTCGGTCAATCCGCCGGCGCCTTTTAGGTTGAGGCTGTTCTGCAATACAGCAGTTGAAACACAACCAGAATTCACTCATGCTTATAGTCCAAGTTATAAATGATCACCGGTGAAGTTTCCAAATCTCAACTCAGGAAGCTTCACACAGCAGGCTTCTCAATATGATATATGTCCAACGATGCCAAAATAATAACTTTATTACTCCTCTGTGTTTTTGTTCCTGGAAGTCAAGTATCTTATATAGTCAATCTAACAAAGAAAAGGTCAGATTGTTTCCTTTCTTTGCTTCTGATTCTACAGAGACTAGTTTCTGAACCACCAGGAAAGGTATAAAAATTGTTGTCTTGACTCAGGACCTTAACAGGTAGTCGCTCACTCCTTGTCAATAGAGCTATCTCTGGGTTGAGAACATTCCATAATATGCATACAGATGACTGTAGACTCACTGTCGGTATAAGTTGTTCCTTGAAGGTTTCTTCTCATTTGGGTTCGAGGTTTTACTCAAAAATCCACACACTCACAACTGGCCATATCGTAGCCTTTGTCTCCACTGCTCTCGCTCTGGCCACAGCCGCTCTCGGGCAGGCTCCGCCGCTGCTGTCCCCCCACGCCCGCAGCTGCGCTCCCCAGCGCGCTCGCCGCTCAGTGACTTGTTAATATGAAGAAACTACTCCTGATCAAATGTGGATGACTTGGATTGTTGTTGAGCATTAAATGAGATACATGTAAATAGTTTAGAAGAACTCTTTGTTCATTACAGGCATTCAGTAAATGTTAACTATTATTATCGTTCCTTTTTATACCCTTGACACCCAGCATAGTGTTTGGCACACAGCAGATGCTCAATAAATATTTGCTGAAAGAATAAATGAAGGGGCCGGTCATGGGAATAGCTGGGTAAAGAGAATCTAGGCAAAGGGAAAAGGAGGTGCAGTGGCCCTTGGGCTGATGCTCCTGGTGGAAAAGAGACTCACTCACAAGCATTAGCAGAAAACTGAGCCTTGACATCTTTTTGTGGAAGCTGAGGGCTAATAGGGATTCATGCTTGAGGAAGGGCAATCCCACTTCCTCTTAAAGGTGAACACTGGGAACGGGGTCAAGATCCTTCCTAGAAGAAGGTTTGGAATTCAACTTGATAGACTTGAGCAATTGAAGTCCATCGCCCTATTTCAATAGCCTAGAAAACATTTCGGGCAAGTGTGACCGGCGGCTCACTCCAGCCACATCCATCTCCCTCAAGTTCCCATAGAAGGCCCACTTTGGAGCATGCTCCATCTGGTGTGATGGCTGGGACAAGCTTGTTTTTTTCAAAGATAACTATTTGAGGCAATTTACTGAACCAGGTTATTTACGAATAAGCTAAAAGCTAAGAGGGGATCTACCAAAAATAATAACTGTAGCTTCAGAACACTTGCTCTGTGGTCTCCTTCTGGCAATAATTAGCTGGTTGAGCCAGCTGGATATTCAGGCCACTCCTAGTTGGAGATAATAAAACCGTAACTCTGGCTCACAAATGGATGCTTGTTTTTCTGTTTTTATAACAGGAAGGCGTTCTTCCAGCTCATTAGAAAGTGGTCTATGCTCATTAAGAAGCTAATCAGATGGAGTGAAGGGGAAGAGCTAAATCTCAGTTTTCCCTCCCAGTAAATGTTTTCCAGTCTTGCCCCACCTAGACTCTCAAGGCAGGACTAAGTGTAGGTTCTGTGCTTACATCATTAACATCAGGCCATGCTTACAGAGCTTAGCTCAGAATCTTTCCTGAGCTCTGCATCAAAAGCTTCAAAGAGGTAAATGTGAGTTTCAAAAAAGCCAATGCAGAAATTCTGAAACTTTCTGGATTTATGATGCCCATCTCAGGAATGATTGCAAGGCATTCCAAGGCCAAAGGAAGTACTAAGCAGCTTCATTTGTTAAGTGGTTAGAGCTAAATAGCTTAATAGATATTTATGTTCTAACAACTTAGTAACTGCAATAAACAATGCACATAATATTTTTATTTCATTCTTAAATAACTACAATTACTTACAAATGAGATGCGTGTGCTTGCTGGGCACTGCACAAATTCCTGAACCTTAGAATCAGAGAGGGCACTTCACCCGCATTTCCTGTTCCACACTGATTTTCAGAGCACTTGCCTTTTAGCACAACTACCGCCCAAAACCCAGTTTTGCAAAGATGTGATGTCATCGAAAGGAACATGTTGTGATCTAATGTTGAAACTGTGAACCACCTCGACTAGTAATTTGCATGGTGTCTGACCGTTGCCCAGAACTGCTGTGTTTCCCTTGAAAATTAAAATATACTCTGCCGCCCTAGGGCGTTGGGTGCAGGGTTTGGGAACTGCAGGCCTAATGTTACTACTTTTGGCACCCTCCCCCCAGCAATGAATAACACAAGCCTCTGATGCAACATCCCTGGCGAACAGCCTGTCTGCTCCTCCTGTGAAACGTAGGTCTGAGAAACCCATGGGGGCGGGATATCCAATAAATCCGCCTGTGCTTTAAACCAGTCCCTATTTTAGGAAAATTACAAGGATACTGCGCTTTTTAAAATGATGTAAACTCTGTTCTAGATTGACTCATCAGGACCAGGCTCTTAGGTCAAATGTGGGTTAGTTAACGAGTGTAAGGAGACTATTTGGACTAGTCCTTGAACGTATCTGAAATAAAATAAAATGTTATCTAAGTGCTGTATTAAACAGATAATCAAGGCACAGTCCCTGCCATTGAGGAGTTCACAGTCCATGGGAGAGACAGGTACACGGACAGGCAATTCAACAGAGGGAGATGGATGTTGCAACAGAGGCCAGGTGTGCAGCACAGGGACCCTGATGCACCCTGGGGTGGGTGCCAGGGAAGGTTTCCCAGATGAGGTGATGGATTCTACTCCAACTTCCTTTGTCATGATTATGAAGAAGAGGATGAATTGAAATACAAAGCTTCTCTTCTCTTTTAAATCACAAAGAAACAGTTTGAAGTGGGTGTTGGCGCAGGGCTTTATATGTATCTCGTTATTTTCACATGTATTCTTTCAAGGTATCTATTTCTTATTGAGCACTATCTATGTGCCAGGAACTGTGCTACACAGTTCACCTATAGTATCTCATTTAATCTTCACAAACAACCCTAAGTGCTTCCAGTCACGATGTACCCACCCGAGCCCTGTCTCTGTAAACAACTATAAAACTGGAAAAAATTAACGAGGCAACTGTTTTGAGGCACTGGGAACAGGCCATGCAAGGCTGATCCCTGAGACAAAGGACAGCAGGAGGTGGGCCCCATGTGGGCCCGGCCCCTTTCCCAGCCTCCTCTCAGGCTCTCTGCATGCGGTGGTGACACTGGCACTTCCTCAACTACCCCAGCTCTTTTCTGCCTCTGGGCTTTTGCATGTGCTGTTCTCTCTCTGCAAGGTTCTTCACTCTTGTCCTTGTATGGCCAACTCGTTATAATTCCTCAAAGCTTTGCTCATGTGTCACCACCTCAGAAGTTCCTCCAACAGCTCTGCCATGTTTTTCTCTTTTAACAACCCGTTCTTCTCTGGCCTAGTACTGAGTAAAGTTTACAACTGTATTTCTTTGCTCATTTATACCCAATCTGCCTCTCCCACTGGCCCATGATTTCCAGCGCTAGCACAGCACCTGGCATGCAGTAGGTGCTCAATAAAGAGATGTTGAATGGGGACTTCCCTGGTGGTACAGTGGTTAAGAATCTTCCTGCCAATGCAGCGGACACGGGTTCGAGCCCTGGTCCGGGAAGATCCCACATGCCGTGGAGCAACTAAGCCCGTGAGCCACAACTACTGAGCCTGTGCTCTAGAGCCCGTGAGCCACAACTACTGAGCCCGCATGCCACAACTACTGAAGCCCGTGTGCCTAGAGCCTGTGCTCCGCAACAAGAGAAGCCGCCGCAGTGAGAAGCCCGCGCACCGCAACCAAGAGTAGCCCCTGCTCACCGCAACTAGAGAAAGCCTGCACGCAGCAACGAAGAACCAACGCAGCCAAAAATAAATAAATAATAAATTCATTTAAAAAAAGAGCTGTTGAATGAATAAAGGAAGGACGTATTAGATTGGTCTCTCCCTTTCCTGTGGGAGGCGGGGGAAATGGGGAGACAGGGAATTCCTCCTCCCCTTTTACAAAAGTCACAGAAACTCAGAGACCATATAGGGCAGATCTGAGAAGGCTTCGTTAAGGAGTTGGGACTTGAAGACATGACCACTCAGTCAATCCTCCTGGTATCCATGAGAGGGAGATGTTATCCTCCCCGTTTCACAGATGAGGCTCAGAGAAGCGAAGGACATGTCCAAGGTTTCCCAGCTAGTAAGTGGAGGGATAGAGACTCAGATCTGGTCTGGTGAGTTCAGAACCCCACGATCTGTTCACGACATTGCCCTGCTTTGAAAGCAAAGGATCGAGGCAACTCTTCTCCTTCCTATCTTTTTCCTCCCCCCGCCCCCCGCACCCCGTATCCTCGCCTGGCTTTTTGCAAACTCTACTGACAGATGGACTTGAGCTGGCAAAGGGTAGTTCCTGAGAGCACAATGGGGCAGGTGCCCAGTCTCTTCCTGGAAGGACCTGGGGAGGGCAAACTCTGCCAGCCAAACCCCACAGCTGAGGTGTCCCCCAGCTGGAATCGTGGCCTTGATGACTCAACCCAAGGGCCCCTTGGCCAAGGCAGCCTATGCCAGGGACCCCGGCATGGCTGAGGCTAAGAGCTGACTCACAGGGCAGGCTGCCACCACCTGAATCACCCACTCCACCTCTGGCTGGAGAGAAGAGGTTGGGGGCTGGGGTGGGGCACTGGGCTAGGACCGCGTGACTCATCTGGTGAATACATAATAACAATGATTGTAATAACAATAATGATGGACCATGACAGCTACTCTTAATGAGTACTTTTCATGAGTCAGGTGCCATTCTAACAGCTGTATATTAATTCACATAGCCTTCGTAACAATCCTATGTAGTAAGAACTATTATTTCCCTATTTCACACACGAAAAGACTGTGGCCCAGCAAGGTTATGTAATTGGCTGCAGGACCCAGAGCTGGCATGTGGAAGTGCTGAGATTCCAACCAAAGTCTGTCTGACTCCAAAGCCCAGCCATTCATTCAATAAATATTGAGCCCCTGCTATAAGCCAGGCACTGTCGTGGGCACCAGGGATACACTGATGGGGTTGAGAAGTTAGTAAACAAATAAATATATGACGTATTAGGTAGAGATGAACATTATGGGGCAGATAAATTAGGCTAAGGGGGTGGGGCTTACAGGGGTTAGGGTGGGGATGTGATTTCATATCGAGGTTGTTGGAGTTCTCCCTCATAAGATGGCATTGAGCAGAGACCTGGAGGAAATGAAGGAACGAGTGATAGGCCTACCTTAGGAGGGGAAGGATGAATGCCAAGGCCTGAGGTTGACCTTGGATTGCTGAGTGTGTCTGACGAGCAGCAGGGAGGCTGGTGTGGATGCAGATCAGAGCAGTGGGGCAGGGGCACAAGTCACATAGGGTCCAGAGCCATTGGGAGGATTTCAGCTTTTACTCTGATGCTGGGGGGAGCCAGGGAGGGCTGGGGAAATGACACAATCTGACTTACAATTTAAAAGGATTCCTTTGCTGTGAGAAGACTAAAGCAAGGGCTAAAAGGCAGGGAGACCAGTTGGAAGGCTACTTTAACAACACAGGTAGGAGACATCAGTGGCTTGAAGCAGGGTGGCAGATTCTAGAAATATTTTGAAGGTAGAGCTGAACGGATTTGCTGACGGGTAGGACGTGGGATGTGAGAGAAATGC